GCACGACCTCTCCTTCATGCACAGAGACTTGGGGTGGGACAAGGTGATGAGGAGGAGCGACGGGGAGTGGTTCCTGACCGGGTTCGACGAGGCGGTGGCGGCGCCGCAGATAAACATGCACGGCGGGGCGGCGAGCGGGCGTCACGCGCCGGAGATGGGGAGGGGTTTGCATGGGGTTAAGGTTGACGTATGGGGGGTGGGGCAGCTAGTGAAGACCTGTGGGTTGGCGGGAGTGCCGAAGCTGCTGGGGGAATTGCAGAACAGGTGTTTGGACCATAACCCCGAGCAGCGACCGTCGGCGGCGGACTGCTACCACCACCTCCTGCAGCTCCAGTCTTCGATGACAGCAGCAGCCGCCGCCGCCTCGACCTCCGCAGCAGGGTATTGACTGTTTAATCCGTGATTGATTAGTTGGGCGCGTCATTTGTTTGTTGCTGCGCGCGTACGGTGGTTTCACACTTTTCGAGGAGTCCAAGAAAACAACAAAATTCAAAATTTATGAACCCACTCAAATAGCCCTATTTTGGAACGTAACATGTCATATTCTTCAAATGTATCCCAGGCAATTTTCACGCAAGTTTGTGGTTGGACACAAATTTTGATGCCAAATGTAATTTAAGCCAAATCTTTAATTTCTCCTACTCTTTTCCACATACTATAATCTCCCCAAGCATAGACCATGTGTGTCAATTTTGCATTTTTAAGCATAATTTCCCTTCAATTTTAAATTTTTTTAAACATTTATTTTACTTTAAACAATTAAACTATTAGGGGTTGTTCCCTTTCCTTTCCCGCGCCCAGTGGCTTCCCGGTTCCTTTCCGTGGCACACCCCAAGGCCTTAGTGACGTGTAAAGGTATTTAGAATGAAGCAAAGATGGTTGATGCTTAACATTCATTATTTTGGATGCATTAAAATGTATGGCCAATTACATCCAATAATTATTTTATTTTTTAAATATTGAATTTGTAATATATAATTCCAAAGTATTTCAATTTTTTATTTAGTTAAAATATTGTTGTAATTTTCTCCCCTAATTTGATATTTTAAATATAAATGCATATAATTTCTAAACATTTATTTCAATTTATTATTTTATTTCATAATATTTTTATGTATCAGTTGTGTTATAACAATTAATATAATCTTGAATATAAATCATTTAAAGTAATACTGTAAACAAAGGAGTAAAGTGTGTTGATCCATGAACAATTAATTAAATAGATGAATGAATGAATGAAATGAGTTGACAAAGTATTCAAATCTAAGATTGATAATGTAGAGATGATATGGATGTAGGAAATGATTTGATAGATGAATCTTAATATAATGAATGAAAATACGTTTATAGTCTGTCAAATTATATGCCTTGAATTTTGTGTAAAAAATACTTTGAATTTTCATTTTTCAGAAATATTACTTCCCTCGTCCCATTTTATAGTACTTGCTTTGATTTACAATATTTGACTTAATTTATTTAATAATTGGGAGAGAATTATAAAATAAAATTTGCGTTTTTAAAAAATTATCCCCCCGTTCTTTAATATTCCATCTGTTCTACAAAACTCTTCCTCTTTCGTTTTTTTGCTTTCCACAAAATACTTCCACTTTCTATTAAAAAACCACTTTTACCCCTACTTTTTCATACCCTACCTATCACATCATACTTTTTCACTAATAATCAAACTATCACATCTTACTTTTTTTCATCACATCAGGGGCAAAATTGGAAAGTTAACCAAAAATACACTTTCCTTATTTTTCCCCAAAGTCAAAACCGGAAGGGTTTTATGGAATGAAGGGAGTATTTGTCTAGTCCTAACTTTTTCAATAATTGTTTTAAATCTCTAATTTGATCTATAATTAAATAAAAGTCATAGGGATATAAACTAGATAAAGGAATGTTTTGAAAGTACTTTATGAAATGAATCTAATAGATTTATTTTTTAATCAATGTCTAGTATTAATATTATTTAATTAGTAATCAAAGTTTCTAAATTTTGATTGCAAAAAGTTAAAACTTAATAAATACTCGGGGATAAAAGTAATACAACAAAACTCTTCGATACAAAAAGTGACATGCAAGGCACAAGTATGAACATAGACCAGCAGTTTACTCTTGTAGCAAAAGTGAAAGGGATACAAGTGAAGGAAGCTCTATTTAGTATCCTGTATCCCCAACTCTAAGAGCCCTGGCCCAGATGGTTTCAGTATTGGGTTCTTTAAAAATCAATGGGAAGTTGTAGGGGAGCTAACTACTAAAGCTATCCTAAATTTCTTTAAAGGGAGATTCCTACAAATAAATTCTACATCCCTCACTGTCATTCCCAAAGTGGATGCACCAAAGATGGCTAATGATAATAGACCAATAGCATGTTGTAATGTGGAATGTAAAACTATCTCTAAAATACTTTGCATCAGATTAAAGGTGGTACTCCCAGTATTGATGAACTGGAATCAGAGGGCCTTTGTTGAAGGGCGCAGCCTGGTACATAACGTCCTACTATACTGTGCCATGAACTAACAAGAGGATACAAGAGGAAAGGAATCTCCCTAGATGCCTAATGAAGCTGGATATTAGGAAGGCTTATGACAGAGTGAATTGGATGGCTCTCCTAAAAATCATGGAGTTGCTGAAATTCCCTAGCCAATTTGTAACTTGGATTGAGCTAAAATACCTTTATTGCAACTAAAATATCTAAAATACCACCAAAACTTTTACCTCCCAAAAATAGATAATGAGGGTACATTTCTGACATATTTGGTAGGGCAAAAATGTTTAAAAAGGTGTGCAAAAAATAAGGGAGGAAAAGTTCTGTAAAACAGAAGGAATAGATAATATTCAAAATTTTATTTAATTGTATATATTAATATACAATACGAATTTAGAATAATTGAAGATTAAAATTCATTTAGTTTAACTCGAAAAAGTAAAAATGAACTAATAGACTAAAACAAAATTAAAAGAATAGATGAGATCACACAAGTATATATTCAAGGAGAATATAAAAACCCAAATTATGTCTGGAAAAAAGTGCGTGTTATTTAAGAGGATTATTGATATATACCAAGCGTACGTACAATATGCATTATCCCATGTATGCATGTATAGACCCTTAGTCGGCCGGATCCCAAATACATCGGCATGCATATGGGTAAAATGTACGTGCTTAGTTACTTACGTATATATAATAATATATGTTCATCCCTTAGATGGCAGCTAGCTAGGGCTTATAATTACCATAAGGATATGGGCGCTATATTTACAATTACAGTTTAGGGATTCTGGACTAATTAAATTGATTCTAAATGAAACGAGTAATTAATACTCATAATAATCTATAAATGTACGCAATGCAAATAAAAAAGATGAGTTGTTATTAGCAGCTATGAGTAGCGGGAAGGAGGAGGAATAAGGCCAATGAACAAATCTGTTTCCACCAAATCCATACACCTCTCCTTCTTCTTCTTCCTTTCTATCTCCTCCTTTTGCTTTCTGGGAACTAGTACTTGTTCATTTTGTCTCACCCCACACTATACATAAATATATATATATATATATATATATATATATATATATATATATATATATATATATATATATATATATATATATATA